TGTCTACTTGGCGGGTGGCTAGGGGTAATCACGTTGAAGACCTTGTCTTATTTAACATCAACAATATAATTAGTAAACAATTGCACATAGAAAGAGGCGTTGGGATATTGTTGGCATCTTGGAGAAAGGACAACAACATGATTAAACAGAGTTCCTTGCAGCACTGTGCGCGCCCAGCTTGCATTCCTCCCCTCCCTCTCCTGTGCTGCTTTGTATACGCAGCCTTTTCGTTTGCCTAGGTTGGTGCAGCTAACCTGGCAAGAACCAGCAGGAACCGCTGATATTTACAGTACCACTGGGTACCACCTATTATTTCCATCAAACTCCCTGAAACTTGAGTTTCGCCTGTCACACAAAGCACTGCGCTGACCAGGAGTGATGCGACTGCCACCCAGCACGTCTGAGCGAAATGTGCACCTTGCCACTTAGAGAAGTCGGGCACCGGGCCAGTCTGATTGATTCAGGCCGGGCAAGCAGAGATGTTCAATATTATGTGATCAACATATATGCATTATGCAGCGGATTTTTGTATATTTGTTTGCGTTCCGTCTAGCCAAGAAACGATCATGAAGGACAGAGGCTCGGTGCCGGTTCACTTCCCAGAGTGCCAAGCATCGTGCGCGGGTGGAAAAGACCTAAAAATGACAGACAGCTTAGGGTTCAGGCTAGAATGTAGTGTAGGGATGTGTAGGGTACAGGTACAACATGGTACATTAACGGTTTCCTTTGTGTGTCAGAGTAAGAGTTGGTATTCCTTTCGGAGGCATTTGTATTGCATGCTGTCGCCTGCCAGCTTCCAGGCTCAGGGTCAAGGTAGATGGGTTTGTATGTAACAGGCACTGTAATATTTCGTAAAACACACACTAGGACAATCAGAGAGCAAAGAAGAGGAGGGTAAAGTCGGGATTCGGACTGGACAGCTAGTGATGTTGAAGGCGAAATAGCCGACGATGTCCCGAGCTGAGTGGGAACTATAGCTGATTATTATGCCTCTGGAGTGCGCGAATATTGGGTTTGAGGCCATCGCAATTGGTTTGGAGGCCATCGCTATTCGCTAT